AACTGTGTTTACCTTTCAAGTTTTGCATTTCTGATACGGTGGCCGCAGTGCTGTGCTGCATTAGCACTGCAGATTGTAATGTAACGTTTGAGATTTGACACAAATTTGTTTCTCCACCTGTTAAACATCGTTAAGATGGGCAATTTGAGCGATTATAGGTGTATTTTACCGTTAAAGTGGGTACCAGTTGGCTTTGCTGGGCAGGCTCGGCATTTTCGCGCCCACTGGAAGTTTATCCCAGTCAGGCTTCGTGCGTTTGAGTTGGTATTCGTTACTGAGTAAAGTTAAGCGTTTTTTTTTTTTAACTACCTTTCAAGCTAGGATAACATGTGACTACTTTTTTTAGAAAGACGTTTTTGTCAGCTGAACAACCGACATGTTGTTAAAACATTACATTCAGTTGGACGCACTGTAGGCCTAACGTTACATCTGTTCCTCACAAGCTCGTTTTCTGTGCCATTTGTTATTTTATTGGCCATCATCATATATTTTATATATAAGTTTGTTTTACGATTGCAAATTACTTACTGGTAACCGATTATAGGTAACAGTAAATGCAAACAAATGCATTATGTTGTATGAATTTTAATCATGAACAAAAAGTCTGTAAAAGTGTTGTGTAACTTACATCTTTGGGCTTAACTGTAATTAGCAAGTAACCAACAATTTCCCGTTTAACGTTACCTCCCTTTGTAGGCTATGACTGAGCACATTACAGTGAGGATCACCATCCATCTTCATTTTTTTTTTTAGGCAACTTAGATTATTAATGGGTTATTATTAAAGGCTGTTGTATAGGAAATGTCTTTGCTTGTGTGTGTGTTGTTTACAAGTAAATTTAAGTTAAATCATTTTTTTTCCCTTTTTACAGGCACACGTTTGTCTGTGAGTCTGAGACTGGATGAAGGGTAAGTTTTGCATTTCTGTACCAAATAAAGAGTATAAACTATATCTTAAGATAGTCAAAATTTTAACCACTTTAAAGTCCCCTAGTAAGCCTAGTAAGACCATAGTTAACAGATTCAGATGTATTTAATTAAGGATGGAGCTAAACTCTACAGGACAGTGATCCTCAGAGCAGGATTCGACACCCCTGCTTTAAACCATCACTTTTTTTTTGTTATTCAAAATATTGAATGTGTTTCTTAAATAATTTCATGTGTCATGTCATGATTATGAAGGTGTCATGTCAGTCTTATGCACACCCCTTCAAGTAAAGTGTTACCGTGTTGTGTAACTTACATTTTTGGGCATAACTGTAATTAGCAAGTAACCAACAATTTCCCGTTTAACGTTACCTCCCTTTGTAGGCTATGACTGAGCACATTACAGTGAGGATCACCATCCATCTTCATTTTTTTTTTTAGGCAACTTAGATTATTAATGGGTTATTATTAAAGGCTGTTGTATAGGAAATGTCTTTGCTTGTGTGTGTGTTGTTTACAAGTAAATTTAAGTTAAATCATTTTTTTTCCCTTTTTACAGGCACACGTTTGTCTGTGAGTCTGAGACTGGATGAAGGGTAAGTTTTGCATTTCTGTACCAAATAAAGAGTATAAACTATATCTTAAGATAGTCAAAATTTTAACCACTTTAAAGTCCCCTAGTAAGCCTAGTAAGACCATAGTTAACAGATTCAGATGTATTTAATTAAGGATGGAGCTAAACTCTACAGGACAGTGATCCTCAGAGCAGGATTCGACACCCCTGCTTTAAACCATCACTTTTTTTTTGTTATTCAAAATATTGAATGTGTTTCTTAAATAATTTGTGTATATTGAAGTCTGTCAGTGTGTAGTGTATATAGAATAACCAACTGTTAGTCATTTTTACTCTGTTATTTTCTGATTTTTATGGTGAGCTCATGGTGAGACACTTCATACACACAAGAAGGGCGTGCAAGCTGGCCTCCTAATACGAAGACTACGATGGTGCACTGCAGGACACCTTTCTCCTTTTAAATGTTCAAGAAAAAGACTGTAATGGACATGTATGTGTGTGTTTTTTTTTCAAGCTTGTCTCAGTGGTTGTTTCCCATGAGGTATGAGTATATTTTCAGCTTTGTATGAGTTTCTTGGCAGTTTTTTGCTACTTTTGTGCCCTTGTTGTATACATATACTGGCATTCACACATTAGCATGCACAGGCAGGTTGTGTACTGTTCTTAATATTAAAAACTTGTTAATAAACACTGCAAGAAAAAAAATACAATTTTAATGTTTCAAACAAATGTTGTAGTATATATTTTTTTATCTGTATCTAAAATAAAGTTTACATTATCATAACTAGAAAATTAATGTAAAAACTTTTGAACTTAAGTTGAAACAGCAAATATTGTAAAGTCAAATGAACTTCAATAAAGCAATTCAGCACTAGGCACGATTTAAATTAGTGAGTTGAAATGACTTGTACTTTTAAGTTGATTTAACTTAAAATTTTAAGGCAGCCACAAGTTTTTAAGGTGAAACGGGTAAAAAATTTTTTACAGTGCATGAATTGATGGCATTTTCATTGTGTCAGAATGACCATCAGAGTGAGGTGACAGTTTGGAAAGGTTTTGTTTTAATATTTAATCACTTCATTAATTCACACCTTTATATTATTATTATTTCTTTATTTCAGACCCGTAGGTCCATATCAGGGGGGGAATTCAATTGAAACTATTTGTGTTGGTGAAACAAAAACAGACAATAGTGTGTCCAAAATATAACTCACTTGTTTTAATTTCTTGGTTGTTGAACTGTATAAAATCAACATCACATTCACCATCATGCTCGTGCGCTAATATTCGGAAAACGGCACTCTTGCTTGTGTGACATTACTTAACTATATCAGATGTTATAAATACTCATACAGGGATATTTTGGCCCTCATAACTATAGTGGCATTCTAACTGCATTCTAATAGACTTCATCATGCAGTAAATGCTTCTGTTAACAGTACAGGACCCAGCCTCAGCATTATTGTGTGAGTGGATAATGCGAATAAAGCCCTTGCAAAGTTTAACAAAAACAGGTATTTTACAACCAATAATTAAATATGCATATTGCTGAGAATACATTTATATGCATGTTTTCTGTGCAAGTGTGAATTCACCTTTAAAAAATAACTTACAGTAGCAACATAGACTACCTATATTTCTTCTCTGTAAAGCATAATCATTTTATAATTATTTTAATCAATATATAATAATATTTGTATTCTTTAATAATTGCACTGTCCATGGAGCGGACCTGACTTACATTTCACTGCTGGTCATATATTCCCTATATAACCATGTATGTGACAAATAAAAATCTTGAATCTTGAATCTTGAATAATACTTAATAGATCATTAGAGCCTCAGCGCTGCTAATCATCATTAAAAGCTGCTTGACTGAACAAGCTGCTTGAGTCCCCATTTTCTTTTTTTAATATTTATTTTTGGCATTTTTGCCTTTATTCCGATAGGACAGTATAAGTGAATTGGGGGGAGGGGGTGCTGGATCAGAAAGGTCCACGAGCCGGGACTCAAACTCAGGATACCCGTAGCGCAACGGTGTTATCGACGGACTGCCCACAAGGCTATCGGGACAGACAGTCACCCGTTTTATGAATATGCATGAGGCGCAATTATCATAATTAGGTTGCGCTGAAAAGAGAGCTCTACAATGCAATTGTTACTAGTAAGAATCGTTATTGTAGAGCTCTACAATTAAATTTTTACTAGTAAGAATGCAATTCCACAGCTCTACAGTATGGCAAGCCGTTTTGGCTTAAAATATTCCAAGCGTTACTCGTCGTAATTGCATTTTTACTAGCAACAATTCAATTAGAGAGCTCTACAATTAAATTCTTACTAGTAACAATGCCAGTTAGAGAGCTCTCTAAATCAATTCTTACTAGTAACAATTATAATTAGAGAGCTCTCTAATTCAGTTCTTACTAGTAAAAATGTAATTACAGAGCTCTCTAATTAAATTCTTACTAGTAAGAAATCTAGTTACAGAGCTCTACAATTGTATTCTTACTAGTAAAAACTTGTATTCATTAGATGCAAAACAGATTTGCGACTACACCTAGAGAGCTCTCTAATTCAGTTCTTACTAGTAACAATTGAATTATAGAGCTCTCTAACTGAATTAGAGAGCTCTGCAATTACATTCTTACTAGTAAGAATTACAATTAGAGAGCTCTCCAATTCAATTGTTACTAGTAAGAATTCCCATTACAGAGCTCTCTAATTCAATTTTTACTAGTAAGAATTCCAATTAGAGAGCTCTCTAATTCAATTGTTACTAGTAAGAACTAAATTAGAGAGCTCTCTAATTCAATTACAGAGCTCTGCAATTAAGCATATCTTTCATTTGTTTTTTACTAGTAAAAATTAAATTATAGAGCTCTGTAATTGCATTTTTACTTGTAAAAACTAAATTAGAGAGCTCTCTAATTGTAATTGTTACTAGTAAGAATTTAATTAGAGAGTTCTCTAATTGGAATTGTTACTAGTAAGAATGCAATTGTAGAGCTCTGTAATTAAAAATGAATGGAAGTCAATGGAAACATATGACTAGAAAAAATTCATTTGTAGAGCTCTCTAATTGAAATTGTTACTAGTAAGAATTTAATTGTAGAGCTCTCTAATTGAATTGTTACTAGTAAAAATGCAATTACGACGAGTAACACTGGGATTATTTTAAGATAAAAGGGCTTGCCATATGCACACGGTTATTAGGCTTTGTGTTGTTGACAACCATCTGGAAGCACACACACCTCCCCAGTTAACAAACACTAACAGCAAGACGCGTCCTGGATATCAGGGAACAAACTCACGCACAAGGCTGATCATGTTGTAACACTTATTGCTTGGATTTAGCCAGAAGTTGAAACAGAGAGGACGCGCACGTTGTTCTTAATAACATCTGGAGATGTTTTGTAAATAAAGCCATTCTGTGAGCGGAGCTCGAGGCCTTTGATTGCTGCAGCTCACACATCATCCTCATCCGCGGTGGTCTCGAGCTTTTAAACCGCTGCTGGGCTCCGCAGCCCAACAATAACTGCAGCGCTCAACGCGTCTTTTTATTATTCTACCTGATACAGGATGTAAGTTACGAAAACCTCTATGCTTTAGAAACATGGAGACCAAGACTCGGGAATTGGTGAGTAAATGAGTGAAAACGGTTTGCTTTTTCCGACAGCTAATTTAGCGGGATAGACATGGCTAGTCGGTTAGCCTGTTCAGCTAAAGCGAAGGCTCGGTTGTCAGTTTTAAATGTCCCTTTGATTGATACGAATCAGTAAATACTGAACTGACAATGGACAGGTGTACCCTGCTATATGAATTATTGTAATTATGTAGTTTAACAAGGGACCACAGTCGGTTAAATATGATGACAGAACAGCTAACACTAAAGTAGTATAAACCGTTAGCTCAGAATTGATGTTACAATGATGCTTGTATCAGCTAAACCTATTACTAGTTTAAAAAGACAAGTATCCCTTTTAGCTCTTATGTTGTGTAACTTTGTGTGTGTGTGTGTGTGTGTGTGTGTGTGTGTTTGTCAAATAGTTCAAGAGTTTGGTGTTAAAAGTGTTGTTTTCATAACAAGATTTGTGCTACTTTGCAGCTTTGGGTGTATTGCAGTTTTTCAAAGACGACTATTTTTCACATGGGTTTTTGCAGCCATGCCTTTTGCATAAGATGTTGTCTTTTTGACAATATAAGATTAGATAAGAAAGCTTTGTCATTTTAAAGGACAACGAGATTACAGTTTGTACTCCACAGTTTGTACTCCGTGTCAGTGACGACAAAATTTAAAACAACAATATCAATGATAGATAATACAATTATGTATGAAACAGTCTTATCGTGTTTAACCATATAAAGCCTTGAATATTAATCTATGCATCATCTTTTTTTTCTTTAAAAATGGTAGTTTATTTAACCTTTTATTTATCGATAAAACATAAATAAAAGTTTACATAAGTGTTTCATATTTTGTATCTTTTGATACATCAGACTTTTATGGCTCATATAGCGTGATATATTGAGAATATGGAGCTCATACTTTTTGAGGAGGAAAAACACATCAGTTTTATTCAGAGGCTCAAACTGCGCAAAAATATGCAATTTGGTGCAGATGTTGTTATTTATATGGCCAAAAAATAAAATAAAATTCTGAGACCTTATGTAAATCAGTGAGATTTTTTGTAAAAAATATTACATTTACATTTAGTCATTTAGCAGACACTTTAATCCAAAGTGACTTACAAATGAGGACAATGGAAGCAATCAAAATCAACAAAAGAGCAATATGCAAGTGCTATGACAAGTCGCAAGGTTATATTATAGCAGGCTGCTTGCTTAAAATGCATATAAATATTATTTGTCACTCTGTTTTACTCTGTAAAGGCTTCATTTAGTTTTATGATCAAAGCTCTGTTGTTTTAATTGTGAGGGTCAAAAAATAAAATGTGATACAATGATGATTGAGAAATGTATACTTAAACATTATGAAGGAAAAGTGTGTGGAAGGTCGTGCACAAGTTTTACAGCAAAGTTTTGATCATGCTGATAATTTAGAGGTTATAGAAATTAATGTATAAAGTATGATACAGTAGACCTTATAGTATGAGGTTCCATTTGTGCCAAAAAAGGAGTTGACTGCTTTGTAATATACATTTTAGGCTTGCTGCGATAGACGGTGTTTTCGGTTATACTGGTGTTAAGCCGCAAATTCTTCCTATTGTGAAGTCATGCAATGTGAAACCCCCTGTCGCCGATCCATCGTGCAATGTGAACACAGCAGCAACTGAATGCTACCCCAGATAGTCACGTAGTGTGAAAACAACGGCGATCTGACGAGTTTGAAAATCATGCAGCGTGAACTCGGCTTTAGAGGACAGACACTTTTAAAAACTAAACGCTCAATGCAGCGTGCCGAACCGTGCGCGAACGACAGTGCACCACGGAGCAGGAGTCAGATTTTATTTATCAAGTGAGGAGAGTGAGTCGCGCTGACTGACAAGAGTGAGGAGAGAAAGACAAGACGATGCCAGAAGATTGTTTAGAAAGGAAATGCAAAGGCGCCTGTTTGGCAATATTTTAGATTTTGAAAAGCCTATTGACTGGAAGGTTTTTTTATTGTTTAGAAAGGAAATGCAAAGGCGCCTGTTTGGCAATATTTTAGATTTTGAAAAGCCTATTGACTGGAAGTTTTTTTAAACATTCGTTTCTTATTTATTTGGTTCCACAGTGTTTGCTGATTACTTTATTTAAACTTTGTGTATTTTATTTATTTTATTTTACATCAAGGTGTATATGCCGTGCCTCCAAGCTTTCTTATTTGTTTTGCTAATAAACGTTCTGTTTTTTTATTTATTTGGTTCCACAGTATTTGCTGATTTTCAGTTTTATATACCTATTTAAACTTTGTGTAGCCTAAGTAATTTGTTATTTTATTAAGCATATATGGTGTATTTTTATTCGTTTTGTTAATAAAAGTTCTATGAGTTTGACGTTGTTGTTGCTTGAATTGAATCAATGCAGAATTGCTGCTAATTTGAAAGTGAAAGTAAAATGCGCACAGCGCTATTTGAAAGCCAAGAAATCCGAGGGAAAACTCAAACGAACAATTGTTTGATGCCGAATTGCGGCAATTCCGTCTTAACATTCTGTTAGTTTACCTGGATATCTGTCAAATGAGAATATTAACTTATAAAACAACTGAGCTGAATGCATGTCAGGAAAGATGACACCACAGATAAAACAAAGGCAATAACATAAATAGTCAATGTTTTTTTTTTGGCACTTTTTTGCCGTATTATAGGGTTAATGTATATGCTTTGCTTGAGATGTGTTATTTGTAGATAATTCCACAATTGTTTTTTTTTTTTTTCTCTCTCTCTACAGGTCTCCATACTGTGAACAAGTCCAACCACCCTCCAGTAGTTTCTCCATCTTTTTCTCACTTTGCCCTTTGTGGGTGGAGGAGAGGATGACTTCTCACATCCTGACTGTCCTGCTGCCTGTCTTGGTGGTTCTGATACCTGCTACTTGGGCAGGAGACTGTAAGGGCCAAAGACAGGTTCTGCGGGGTGTCCCAGGATATGTCACAGATGGACCAGGAAACTACTCTGTGAATGGGAACTGCGAGTGGCTTATCAAGGGTTGGTGTCAAAAACGGGCTGATGAATGAAAGAAGCTTTATTAGCATATAGTTATAGGATTTAAACGAATGACTGTATTGCTTGTAATTCAAAGTCGGCATGAAATGAGAATGTGTATTGTTTATTTATTTATTTTTTTTGTGAATGCATGTTTTTTATCTTGTCATTTTTACATTCAATTGAATTTTGAATTAAAATGTCATAACTGGATCTCATGGTGAAATATTCCAATCATTTAGTTTACTTAAATCCCATCCCTTTCTTACAGTGACCTCAAGTTTGCATTAAAGGGTTACTCCACCCCAAAATGAACATTTTGTCATTAATCACTTACCCCCATGCCGTTCCAAACCCGTAAAAGCTTTGTGCAGTATAATGCTGATGTGTATTTTCTGTATGTCATTAAAAACTGCTTTGTACAAAGCAGCAGTTGTGTGTGTTTACTGTTATTGCTGTTATTACTCTCGGTGAACTTTCTGCAACACATTATCCAGGTAAACAATTAGTTTTTATTAATAAGTTCTCACAATTTTTCTAAAATTCTCAAAATTATGACAAAGTACTAAGATGAAACCTATAGATGACTATAGATTAATTCACATTTATAGATAAATTATAAATCTAAATGTTTTAGAAAACTCCTTGAAACCATCATTCCGGTCCCCAAAAAGCCCAAAATCACTGGACTTAACGACTACAGACCTGTCGGGAGGCTTGTGACTGTCCCATTGACTTCCAAGTAAATTATACTGTCAAGGTCCAGAAAAGTATGAAAGACATCGTCAGAATAATCCGTCTGCCATCAGTGGTTCAACTGTAACATTATGAAGTGACAAGAATACTTTTTGTACGCGAAGAAAACAAAAATAACAACTTTATTCAACAATTCGTCTCCTCTGTGTCTCTCCGCATCACCGTAGCGCCATTTTGGAGAGTATCCGCTGAACGCAAACTGCGTGCGCTATTCTGTGTCAGCCGCGACACAAAGATACGTTTTCTACGTGTATTTACACTTTGATATGAACGAAAACAGCGCATCCGTGCAGCGTTGCTGACACAGAAGAGCGTACGCTGCTTGCGTCCCGCGGATATTCTCCAAAATGGTGCTTCGGTGATGCGGAGAGACACAGAGGAGACGAATTGTTGAATAAAGTTCACGTAAATATCTTAAATTGTGTTCCGAAGACGCATGAAGTTTCATTTTGGGGTGGAGTATCCCTTTAAGATCTGCCTCCATCAAAACAACCACTGATGGATTATTTGACAATTTATTTCACCTGGATGTATTTCAATCACAACACAGAACAAAAGATCTGTTGCTACTTCCGTTTCATTGCGACTTTATTAGTAGTGGTGGCTTGATTAGTAATTATCACAACTACCAATTTCAGTAACTGAGTGACCATGACCCTTCTCTCAATTTGTATATTTATTACAAATGTCTACCTCTTGAAGGTGATATTAAGACAAGCGCAGTATGTTTTTTTCTGGTTGTAATGGGAACTCTTCTGTCCTCCTTCAGCTCCCAGCAGAAACCATCGCATTGTGCTTAACTTCACATTTATGGAGACGGAGTGTACCTATGACTATCTGTTTGTCTATGATGGTGATTCCTACCAGAGCTCCCTACTGGCAAGTTTAAGTGGCACCACCCTACCACAACCAATTGAGGCCAAGTCTGGTGAGGTAAGACCAAAAGTATCAGTTTATACCATTTGCTCAACTGAGCCTGAGAGCCTTACTTTTCAGAGAATCAAAATGCGCTCCCTTTATTTAATGCTCTTGATTCAACGAGATTGTGAAGAAAGGAAGCTCCATTTTAGGTTTTTCCATTTCTCTCAGCATGTGTCCATTTTATAACACTGTGAGTCATGAGTCACTGTGAAACTATGCCAGCGCTCAGTTGATAGACGTCTTGTTCACAGTCTGTCTCTATTTTCCCACAGTCATTATAATTTGTTCATCTTCTGTTGTGTTCTTTACAAGATGCTGCTGCATCTCTTCAGCGACGCCAACTACAACTTGCTGGGCTTCAATGCCACCTACACGTTTTCAGTTTGCCCTGGGGACTGCGGTGGTCATGGGCGCTGTGACGTAGCTACTGCCCGCTGTCAGTGTCATCAGGGGTGGGGAGGAATGGACTGCAGTACCCCTCTCTGCTCCCAGGTCTGCACACAACATGACCACGGTCGCTGTGATAAGGTAGGCTCTGCATTATGCATAAAGTGAGTACAGAGTGTAGTTTTGTTGTTTTAATGTCACGTATGGTTTCCCACTCTCTCTAACAGAGGGGTGACCATTGTATCTGCAGCCCCGGCTTTGTGGGACAGAACTGTCAGCTGGGTCTCCGTGACAACAGTGGGGCAGGGCAGTGGTGGGAGGTGAGCCCAGGTGACATTAAAGCAGCCCCTCGCACCGCCTCTGCTGGGGTTTACCTGTCTTCCACTGGAGCCATGTACATGTTCGGAGGTAAGATGGAGGTTTTTCAGCTAGCCTTTCCCATCACTGACTGATTGTTAATCATTTAGATCTGGAATGTGGGCAGCTATTTTACATGTTTTCATGTATGAAAACCCATTTATACTTGTGTGATAAAAATATTACGCTTAATATGTTTTAAGGATAACACAATTAAATAGTTGTTTACAAAATTAAATAATTGTATTTTATATTATCAGTCAATCAATTTTATACAGCATTTTTATGTATAAACAATATATAGTTTTTCCACCTTACAAAAGCAAAAACAAAATGGAATAGCAGTAGCAACTTTGTAAATGTAAAAGAAAAACATTATTGAATTAATATCAAATTTGTGGGTTTTAACTTTGACAGCCTTAAAAATACATTTTGTACAAATACAAAATCTTGTTTTCCTCTCAATTTTAGACTTTAGTAAGATTTTACCAGAAAAGATTTTAGATTTGTTATATGTAAATTTACAAAATCTTGTATAATATAACTACTACTCTTCTTAATTTTAAAAGTTCAGCTTTAAAGTACGCTTGTGGAGGGATTTATTTGAACCCTTGGTCTTTATTTACAGGGTTTGATCTGAACAGAGCACTGGAGGACCTTGTTGTTTACAATTTTTCGGCCAATAATTGGGAACAGAGATCATATTTATATAGTCCAGTAAGTTTCTTCTTCTCTCTTTTTTGTCTTACGGATTTCTAATGGTCTGTTTTCATTTGAATGATCCTCTAATTAATAATATCTTTGTATCAGGCTTCTCGACATTCCCACATAGCTGTAGAATGGCAAGGCAACATGGTCATCTATGGCGGTGAGCTTGCCAACCACTCATTGGCTAGTGATGTCTGGGTGTACCGTGCACAGCAAGATGAATGGCAGCAGCTAGGCCAATCAAACGCTTCAGGGGCACCAAGGCTGGCAAATCACGCAGCAGCATTAGTAGACCACTATCTATATGTTTTTGGGGGTGAGTAAATTGTATTCTTATTCTTTAGTGGAGAATATAAAAAGAGCAACATGAGCGTTATTGTCATTTTGTGAAAAACACATGCATCATCATCTCTTCTTTCCTTTCTTGCCCTCTGTCCCCTAAAATGTCTAACTTTTCTGGTTGTGTTGTTCCCTCGCTTGTTCTCTTTTTATATCTTTTTACTGTTCTTTAAAAATAATTGATCAACCTGTCTTTTCAGGAAGGACAGAGGAGGACATGTTCTCTTCATCACTGTACCGGTTCCGGTTGAGGGATGGAGTGTGGGAAGAAGTTCAGCCTACAGGCGGAAAACCACCTGCTACTGCAGGACACAGCATGGTCTACCATGCCCCTTCCAAAACACTGCTGGTATATGGGGGACACAGACCTACCACAGCTAGGTATTGTACACTTGTGTGTGTAGTATAAGCTGAATGTATAGTAAATTGCCGCTGAGTGTTTGTTTATATCACTGTAAAATATAAACCGTTATATCTCAGCTCTTTATATAAAGTTTGATGTCCACATACTTTTATCTGCAGTGCATACATACAGTATACTCATGTAGAGCTCTATGTATGCACTATATAGCATATTTCAACTGCTCGATTTCTTGTATCATCGCAAAATGTATTACCGCCCAGCTCTAATCTGCTAAATACGACTGTAAGACAGGAAGATATTATAAACGTTAAAATCATGATTTTCTGTAAAGCACTATACAGATAAATTTGACTTGACTTGACTGACAGCTGGGAAATGCTGTTTAAAATCATACTGAAAGGTCCTAAAACAGATGCAGAAGTTAAGTTGGAAGTGTGTTCCTGTAGTGTAGTTCATAAGGAAAAATCACGTGAATAAATTTAAGATCGTAATCTGCTACTTGACAGTGTTCATTGGTCTGGCTTTTCTTTCTTTCAATTTGGAATGTTACCATCTACTCCTGTCTCAAGGTTCAGTGTGCGTGTGAACTCAACTGATGCTTTTCATGTTGAGAAACGGTTTTGGACTTCCTTCCGTTCACGTTTCCCTGCCAGTGGCCCGAGGGAGAGAGCATTCCACTCTGCCACCATCATCGGCAACTACATGGTGGTGTACGGTAAGTAGCAATCAATTTGACATGGTAGTAGAGCTACAACCAACCTCACTGTGTCTGCGGTTTGACTGAGTGAATGGAATGTGAAGACTTCTATAGCGATATTAATTAATGGAGATCTGTTTTTCCTCTTAGGAGGGAATGTTCATATCCACTACATGGAAGAGAAGTGCTACGATGAGGAGATCTTTTTCTATCATCTTGGTTGCCATCAGTGGGTGTCTGGTGGAGAGAGCCTCAGTCAGCGTAAGTGTATATTTAATGGTCAGAGACGGAGTGAATTTGTTTGATATGTTTAGAGAGGAGATGAAGTATGATGATGTATGCGATTGATGACCCATGCTTCCCTGAGGATTTGTTGCGCGAATAACTGGAGAGCCTGTAAGAACTCATGTTCAAGATGCTTCAGCCTGACTGGGGGCTTGTTATGACCTGCTCTTGAGAGGTCATTTGTTGTGTAAATTCCCTTGTGTCTGATGCAGATTTACTTGCCTGCAGCTTTTAAACAAATGGATTGATGAGAAGTAAAACTGTCCTCAGATAAATTTTTTTGTTTTTTTAAATGTTGTAACTTAACCACAGAAAGCTGACATATGTTTGGTACCCCTCATAGTGCCTGTCAGGATTTTTGGCATTGTTATTTTTGGTTTGCAAGACATTTTACTCAAAGTTGGTATTAGTTTATAATGATGCTTCAGTTTAGCCCTCTAGAATATTGTGCATTTCACTGGGGCTACTTCTAACTCTTTAACTGTACAGCATTTTATTGTTTCCGTGCTTTAGTTATTTTCAGTCCGTTATTTACATCATTACCTCAGGATCTACATAATGTTTAAAGTTAAGCTCAATCAGCAGTTGATTACAACAAAAAATTATTTTTCAACCTGCCTTTCTTAAAGGGGTCATATGATGTTGCTAAAAATAACATTATTTTGTGTATTTGGTGTAATGAAATGTGTTTATGCGTTTTAAGGTAAAAAAAAAACACACATTATTTTCCACATACTGTACATTATTGTTTCTCCCTCCTGCTCTGCCTTTCTGAAACGCGTCGATTTTTACAAAGCTCATCAGTCTGAAAAAGTGAGGTGTGCTCTGATTGGCCAGCTATAGAGTGCGTTGTGATTGGCCGAATACCTCAAGC